TCTTGGTTCAAACATCAGAATGGTCAAAGTGTTCATTAAGATACTTCTTCTTGTCCAGAAAGGGGACTGGAAGGACGATGTCATCTTGGGTGCAGAATACTTGGGAAATAAAATCATGCCATTGGTTGCATTCAGCATTACCATTCTTAATTCTAATCAGGACCGACTGACTCTACACTCAACCAATATCACATTATCCAGCATCTCTGTCAGTGTGAATATTGTCATGAATGGAGAGGCCATTGGAAGATATAATTTTGCAGTGCAATTTTGAAATGTCGATTTGGAGTGATTGGGGTTAGCTGTTGTAAATTTTCCACGACGGTTAGGCTTAATATTCTCATGCAGTTGTATGCGCAGATTAACATAATATTGGCCATTACTGGTTGGCCTTTCGAGAGGTCGTTCACCAGTTTGATTCCTTTGTTTTCCAAGAAGAAAAACTGAAGCCATCATCTTGCCAGCTTTCTTCTTGGAAGGATACGTTAGATATTTCCACTGCTTTGACTGTAAGAGGCGACTAACGAGATCGAGTGGTCAGGCTCGCTGACTTGCTTGATGCATGTCATCGTATCCCAATTGCGTGGATCGATGCTCATGACATCAATCACTGGATTGTCATGTCCGGACTCGATTATTTACAGACCGCCGTCATATAGCTGAAATATTGCGACATTAAACAACAAACAAACAAACACATTGTGCAAATTGTGTGAGTGACGGGTTCTGTCGATAGAGCAGGACATGTTTAACTAATGGTGTCATCAATGATATTCAGTCATCCATTCATTTAGTTTTGCACCTCTGTCTTGCCTCTTACGCCAATGGAATTTGTTTATTCTCTTGCGTTTACGCTCTATATCACAGATACTTGCTCTTCTGTGTGTATTAGGTAATCGTACATGAGCTGCCCTTTCATAGTTCTTGCTGTTGAATTATTTGTTTTCATATTAGTAACGGAAGATACATTCGATGAAGTAATCAATAACAATTTTCCCGTTTTTCCCAATGTGGATATATGATTAAACAAATCCAAGTTTTATTAAAATGAAATAACTGGAAAGTAGATAGCCGCCCTGTTAACAGAAATGTGATGAACGTTTACAGTGTTTTATATATTGTTTGAAAATTAGTGCATTCACATATCACTTGTTTAATTTATGATAACGTAGGTATTCCAACAATGTTCATTTTCAGAACACTGCTGTTCATCTAACTCAAATAGTGCTGCTAAAATGTTCAATATTATAAAATGACAATGTTATAGAATCATAGAATGGTCTACGGCTGGGGCGGGTAACTCGGGTATCCGGGTCTGAAGGGTACTGAGTAGGACCCGGGTACCCTAAGGACGACCCAGACTCGTGGTTAGTCACGTGATATATTGTTTAACGACAAAAGTTATCTAGAACTCTATTGTTACTAATGTTCGCATTTCTTTCTGACTATGCACCCATTCCTTCTGATTTTCCATATGGTTGACTAAATATATAACTCAATTCAATTTCAGTGTATGAATAACCAGATTGTTTAATACATGTATCTAAATACGTTTTGCCAGGGCTATGCTTTCTTGTGACCATGGCTGCGTCGGCGTCTTTGGGATGCCGGGAACAGACTCAATACTTTGACGTAGGCAGTTCGTTGGAAAGACTACCAACGGCTTTTTGTCATTGCATCTTGAGAGTCGAATCCAATGATTTTATATGGACATTCTATAAGGTAGACTGCACAAACACGCCAATTGTATAGTCATGTATTGTGAGGTGACTTTGAAATCCAAGGTCGGGTTGACACATTTGAATAAGAAAACACGACACTAGTGTAGGCATACATACAGGAATTCAGTATATGTGTATGGTGCCTGTAGGGTACTTATATACATGTGCACATACTAGTATATAGTCATGACCGTAGGTACCTGTGCACGGGACTAAAAGAGACCGCCTCCGTGGTCTTGTGGTAGAGCGTCCGCCCGGAGAGCGGAAGGTCCGAGGTTCCATCCCCGGCCGCGTCATACCAAAAGACGTTTTTAAAGATGGTACTTGTTGTTACCCTGTCAGGCGCTCGGCACTAAAAAAGGGCTAAAACAAGGACTGGTCGGCTCGGAGTCAGTATACTGTGTCTGAGTGGGGTATTCATGTTAAACTGCGGCATGGTATCTCAGTGAGCTAGCACTATAAATCGGTATAAGTCCGGACTAGTACAAGCAGCCACACACACGTGCATGCACGTCGCTATATAAGTGCAATAATCTTGGACGCGACGTTAAACCCAATTTCACCTCACGGGGCTAAAAGTGACGTTTATGAATGAACCTACGGTAGATGGTGCGTCGCAGCCACGTCGTGTCCCGATTGCTTCAGTTTGTATTTATAACTTGATATTGTACACTTATAAAAACCTAGACTGGTGCTGAGCAATATTTCTTACATAGATTTAAAAAAAAGTTTTGTTTGTTGTTTTGTTTATTGGTTTAACGTCGCTCTCAACATTATTCCAGCTATATGACGGCTGCCCGTAAAAACAATTTTAGAGCAGGCAATCCAGTGGTTGACGTCATGAGCATCGATCTGCACATTTCGGCTCGACCACCCGATTCTTTTAGTCGCCTCTTACGACCAGCATGGGTTGCTGAAGACGAACTCTGACGCGGACCTTCACGGTAAATTTATTTTATTTATGCATCATACAGAGTTATAATATGGCAAATATGGATTTGACATAAACAAGATACAGATTTGGTATATAGAAGATATAGATTTGATATATGCAAGATATAGATATGATATGAACAAGATATAGATTTGATATAAACAAGATTTGGCTTGATAGAGGCAAGATATAGATTTGATATATACAAGATATAGATTTGGCATATACAAAATATAGATTTGATATATACAAGATATAGATTTGATATATACAAGATATAGATTTGATATATACAGGATATAGATTTGGTATATAGAAGATATAGATTTGATATAAACTTATATATATATATATATATTTGATATAAACAAATATAGAGTTGATAAAAACAAGATAAAGATTTGATATATATACAAGATTTAGACTTTATACATACAAGATATAGAGTTGATGTAAGCAAGATATATTTGAAATAAACAAGATATAGATTTTAAACATACAAGATAAAGATTCCATATACAAGATATAGAGAATATTTCATTTACGCAAAGAGTGAAGATATAATGTTTGCCCCGTCACGTGATAGGAGAAACATGATATTTCACCAGATACGTGGAATATCCTATTTATAATACACTTTTAGTGTAGTTGTTTTCATTACGAATCTTAAACCTTGAAACGTAAAAGGCTCCCTACCTTACACACAGGGACGTTTCACCACCTCATTCTATTGCGACTTAAAAAGTAGTTCCGAGTTTACAAAATCGTTTAAAAATGAACAAAAGTAATAAAAAATATTTGAGGTCATGATTATATACAAAATCAACTTCGAAAAGAATTTTATTGAAATCTACGAGACCTCTGTTGGAAGCGAAAGGAATACAGTTTCGAATGACGAGAAATGAGAAATGAGAAATTTACAGTTCATAAGGAAACATTTTCAAGAGAATAACAATCGTCAAGAAGCGATGTTAACTTCATAAAAGACCATCTGTCATTATTGTGCCTTGTCAATGAGGATCTAACCCCCAAAGAGAAGTCAACAGGGTGTGTATGGGTCAGACACTTACAATAAAGGGAGACAATTTGCGGGGATGTTGCGTTTGTATGGCAACAGTTCCGTCAAAGTGTTATGTTCATTGCAATAAAACTATCACTTTGCTCAACTTCAGAAAACTCAGTCTTTCTAATGAAGTACAAAAAAAATAGATTTGATGTACGCAAGATATGAACGGTGTCGTCATTTAATAGCTAGGACAAACTCGACAGAGGAAGGAATCTATTTGTACGACTTTTATTTGACCCGAAATGAGATCAGTTCTAACAATGTGCCCACTTTATACTTATCCCTGTACTATTTCATTAATCCCTACATAGATCCGCATACACATGTCAGGCGATTAAATATCCTGGTTTGAATAATGCCCATGTGAACACATATACCACACCATGTTGTTTAGAAATGCATCAAATAAAAACGGCAAAACACCTTCCATATTTTTCATCTGAACTAACTGGCTTATGTTACAAATAGTTTTCTATTCCACAAAAAAATTCTCGGGAAACAAGCCACAACACCCCCTTAAAGAGAAGTCGTAAAATAACATGATCTTTCTGGGTTACGTTGAGGGTACATTCACATGTGTGCCCTATACCCTTATCTAAATATATACCTACAACGCCGGAGAATAAACAGTCTCCATTATCCACCGAAACAGATCACTGGGATCACTGAAAATCATTGATGAAAAACAACATAAAAATCTTCACAGGTTGTACCGCCAACAACGCTCCCGTAAGTGTTTACAGTATACATATTATTATAGGAGCAGGCGAAAACAGAAACATCAACATGAAAACATGTTTATGATCTGAAAATTGATTCTGGATGGGCGCCGCATAATCTTTAAAATCCTATAAAAGTTTCGAAATATAATCGCCGCCGTACACTAATGTCATTCATTGTGTGGATTATATGTTGTGAAAGCATTTTCATGGACAAGTAGTTTTGGATCCCGTGCATTGGATCAGAAGGTGTAATGGAACTGTTTACACTCCTCGTGGGCATGCCATACCTCCTACTACGTTAATAAATGTAAATATGTTTGGTTTGATCCTTGCAAAACATCCGTCTTTGCAACCTAACATTCTTCTCCATGCATTACACTGAGCCCGGTAACGACCATTAGAACAGTTTTGTCTGCAATGAAGAGAAACATTCTACTCTTTCATTGACTGTTCACTGGTGTGCTAAAAGGACATTCAAAGAGATAAATCTGATTGTACTAGTAACACGGTGGGAGGGAGTAGGTCACCCGGACGCACTCCTGTTGGTTATATAAAGAGGTCTGCCTTAGAGGGTAGCTGTTCATGAAATGTTCATTCTGGTTCGGGCAGTGTCACACGGAGGTGTTGGAATAGCTGTGCCTCCGAGAACAGAAGTCAAAATACAGTCTTGTGGAGGAACTGCTTGCCAATAAGACATCGGAAGAGACAATGGTGTTGTAAATTGTCATATATTTTAATTGTTCGTGTAAGGTACATGTGACGTTTGTATCAGAACTTGTATCAGAACAGATCTAAAGAATTATACGTGGTCTGAAAGACAAAAAAGCTGGCATTTAACTCTCTGAAATAACATCTTTTTGAAGATTTAACTGTTCTTATCTTTTAATAGAACGGATTCTTCGAAAGTAATTTAATCCTGTTAATGCATTTATGTAAAGAAATTCCCAAGAGAAACTAACATAAAGGATACAAAATCAGTAATTTACATTTTTTACGAAGGACCTTGTGATTTCCGGCATCATGTGTGATATTTTTTCGAACGAAAAGTGCAAGAAATTTGCATCAAGCTGTTTGAATAGGGAGTTGAAAAGTCATCAGAAGAACTGTGTTCAGGATCGCCTGCTAAAGGAGTCCAACAGCAGGTTTGACCGGAGCCACAAAAAGGAGTCCAAGACACAGACATTCATCAGGGAGGGGATCCAGAGGGAGCACGGCTCCATAGTATCACGGACTCCCTCCATCTCCGAGTGGATGAAACAACACCAGCGACATATGGACGCTTGGAAGGAACAGGAGAGACAGAAACTAGAGAATAGACACAGGTACGTCCATTATATAGACACATGTATTCTCATTCGTCTGGACGATAAACACTGATAGGTTAAAACACCTATCTCCAGAGTAGATACAAGAATGACAAACCATGCATGTATCCTTAACACAGACATGTAGATAAATCTGCATCAATACACTTGCGATGTTGTAGACACTAGAATCTATCACTGAATCGTTCGAAATCTGAGAAGTTGAATTATTATATATGAATTCAGGAACACAGGAAACATGAATCCAATGTTGCTGATGCCCTTTATTCTCGAGTCTTGGAACTATATGCTCTTTTATTTCACCTCACCTTTATTTCAATTAGAGCATTTCTTTTCGGCCACAGCTTTCATGTCATGTTGGTTAGCACCATAGATCCTGCTTTAAGACCAGTTTCTTATTGTTTCTATTCTTCTGTAGGTACATGATCCGCCAGTACAGGATTCCAAAGGTAAAATCGTTAGATTCCAGCGGGATGAATATGTCTATTAATGGGACAGATCCCATAGGAAAGGTCCAAGATCCGGAAGAGTCTGGAGATCTTGCAGAAGGTTCTGAAGACAGCATCCCGACTTCAACCCTGAGGAGGACCAGCAGTGACACCCGGAGTCGCCCCAAAACTTCAGGGGCGAGGCTGAGAAGACGAGCAAGTGTGAACACGGAGTCAAGGTCAGCCAGGTACCCCAGAAGGTGCTCCACGTCGATGGGAATGGCTCATCTTCTGGAAGACATTTTGTGATTGTGATGAAAGCATTTTGTGATTGTGATGAAAACGTTTTATGAATGAGAAGAAGCCGTTTTATGACAGCGATGAAGACGTTTTATGACTGTTATGAAGACATTAAGACATTCAGTAATAAGTACTGTTCTTGACAAAGCGCTGAAGAATGGTGTATTAATGTTTGAATGGTACAAAGAAACTTTAAGATTGTGTGGCACGTGTATGTAAAGTGTTTTTTTTACTTTTGCAAGCTGCTCTCGCATATCAATATGTCTGTCACTGTGACGACACACGCCAGTGTTACATACCCAGAACTGACGGTATGATTGTGTCTATATTATATACGGTGTCTTTTCGAGAATATCGTTTTGAGAACCATGAAATAACATCTTGGGAAACGTGACAATATCAGCTTGAGAAACGTGACAATACCATATCCTGTGGTGGCTGCCATTGCGGTATATGTAGATAGATTTCTCATCACAAACTTTCAACTGTTCACAGGGACAATGTGAGAATATGTGTATCAGGATTCTTCTTATCCTGAAGGACAATGCTTAAATGTGTTCAGTTGAGTGTACATTGTCACAGAGCCAGTGGGTACATGTTCCTTTAGGGAAGTTATTCCAGAGTATTTCTCCATCAGTGAACCTTAGCTTGGGTCTCTGCATGTATGCTGAAATATCTACCTCTCTTACTCAGTGTCATCGGTAGGAAGAGTAACTCATTGAGAACCTGTCTGGTAAATAAAATACATGTTAATCTTTAACTGCAGTCCACCAATGATAGAAATGTTACTCTTTGTAACATATTAGCTAAATGACTCTGATGGGTTTACATGTGGATACGGGTGTTTTTTTATTTATATATCATATTATAAACATATTTATCATTGCATTTCTTTCTTTTTCTTGAGTTTATGTCGCTATTTAGTGCACATTAGAAAGTATAAGTAGATAAGTACATATGACAACTTTTTTCAAATTCATAGGTTTAAACAGAGCATCTTTCCTGTGGCATATCATTTTGTGTGTATGTGCGTGGCGGTAGAAATGAACGTGCTATCTGAGGTTCATGTGACAAAAAGGTTAAAATATACGTATCTTTTTGCCACCAGAGTTGAACATATGTCCCTATATTTCGAGCAATATTCCAGCAGTTCCTGACCTTGGTGTCTATATTTCACAACTTATGAGGAACAATCGAGCATGCTCTTTCTACAACGATTTCAAAGAGCATCAAACCTTGTTTGATCAGGTTTATAGTAGTCATTTTGAGGATATTTCCAAATTGATGCATCGGTGACAAAAATGATGTCCGATTCAATTACTCATTTATACCTTGACCCGTTGTTTTAGGTGAATCGTTGACTTGCTCTTGCGTGTGTTTGTGACGGGTGCCAACAATAGGGCAGGTGCGCTCACCTTCTCGCGAACACCTAGTGTCATAAAATGATAAACCCTTCCTATTATCACAAGAAATCTCTTCGAAAGCGCATCATCAATCAATAACACAATAAAAACATGATAGATGTTAAATACCGTTAGGGGGTCACAGGTGGCCCAGTTGTCTAAGGCGCCGCAATTCGCTGTGCAGAGTTGCGTCCCTTGGGCACGCAAGAAACCTATGATTGTGGGTTCGAATCCCGGTTCGCCCCGATTATGTTTCTAGGTCTGTCAGCACCATACCCGTGCTCGTGGGTTTCACCTAAGTGGTAAGCGTCTAAGACCTGCCTCACTGTAGCTACAGTGAAACACCGTTATCTTGTAATTACCGTTTCATGTCACTTCGTCCGAATTATGAAATGTTCGAATTTACGAATAATTTGTAGTTTATTATGACATTTACATATCTGTAGGCAATCCGAAAAACAATGTTCTGAACACCTGGTTGACAGGAGCACGACTAAAGGGGTCACACTATGCGTATTCACCCCTTTACGGTTCATACTCCTTTTTATCCCCCGCCAACTTTGTATAGAAACGGGCACCGTCCGTCCGTCCGTCACGTTTCGTTTCCGGAGCATAACTCAGAAACCGTCCAATATTTTTTCATGAAACTTTGCAGGTTTGTCAGGTACATGCTGAACTGGTGCCTTTTGCTATTTAGAAATTTTAGAAATTTTTATTCTTTACGTTTCCATGGCAACAAGATGGACTCTTCTTTTTTTTACAATTTCCATGACAAGTTCCACCTCGGTTAAAAAAGGTTAGGGTTTGTTTAGATTTAGTTATGTCATACATTCTGCAACAGGGGCGGGGGATATAGCCACGTTAGTGACAAACTCTTGTTCAATTTTTGAACAACGTGATCAGTCTTTGAAAGCATGTCACATGACATGAATCACTTGTCTGTTTCACGGGGGTCATTGACATGGCCACATGTCATGTACCTCTGCCCCACCCTGTGACCGAGGTGTGCCTTGTACCTGGTTGACGCCATAGTTCCACGTGACATAGGTATTGACGGGTAGGGTGGAGAAAATAATGCGAGTCACCTCAGCACTGAAGGCTCTCGTTTCCTTTCAAACGATTTATGGGTTTTCGTTTGAGAAGGGTCGATAAGCTGTGAATGAAAATAAAATAGAATAGAAATTCTGTCTTTTCTTGTATATTTGTTCGTAGGCTTATGTGAGTAAGGTTTGGCGACACTTCATCAATAATGGAACAAAATATGAAAGCAGACATTCCGAGAATGTGCTTTAACACTTTGTATCAGTTTGGGCAATGTTGTAAGCATGACGAGCGAATACTTTCACCATGGGACCATCCCACGGTCCCTCACACTGGCATTGCTTTACGTACGGTGGCCCATAAAGGACATGGAGTCTGTCTTTCAATATTTTGATATTTCACTTACTGTTATCGTAACCTTTTGCAAATTAACACGATTTGTCATACAAATATGTGATAAAACATGTATAAAGAAGATATTAAATCGCTGAAAAGTGAAGCGAAAATGTCAAAAACTAAAATGAAAATGTCAAAAACAAAAACGAAAAAGTCAAAAACTAAAATGAAAATACAGAAAACTATTTCCACCGTGGTGTGAATATTATCACCGCGGTGGAAATAGTTTTCTGTATTTTCATTTTAGTTTTTGACATTTTCGTTTTTGTTTTTGACATTTTCATTTTAGTTTTTGACCTTTTCGTTTTTGTTTTTTACATTCCCATTTTAGTTTTTGCCATTTTCGCTTCACACTTCAGCAATTCAATAGCTACTCGAAAGTACATGTTTTCGGTTGTTTTTATACATGATTTATCAGATATTTGTATGACAAATTGTGTTAATTTGCAAAAGGTTGTGATAAAAGTAAGTGAAATATCAAAATATTGAAAAAAAGACTCCATGTCCCTTATGGGCCACCGTATTCACGTGAGACTTGCCCTCAAAATGGTTGATTAATGCTTGGTGCTGATTTTCGTGAATTCATATTTTCTTCTCATTTTACTTTTCGAAATCTATAAACCCCTTTTTAGGATAGTTGCATCTGAAACAAACTATTGAACCAAAAGGAAATTGAGTAATCTTCATAACTTGGACATACTCCGAAAGTGCAACGCCAGTTCCAATTAACAAATGAAATAGTAACAACTTTTCGGGACGATCTTAAACTTGCCTTAACCTCTTTAACAGTTTCATAATTGGTTTTGTTGTATTGTGTCTTTAAGTTCCATCTTCCCGAGGCAGGGGAGTTAACTGAGTGTAAAAGTCCAGTTTCCACCCTTGCCGAACCAGGCTGGAATTCCGGAGTTAAATTTTGGCTGGACTAACGGGTCTATGCATAGTCCAATTAAAGAAGTTAGAAGTTGTTTCATACCTGTACCAGATTTCATGTTTACAAGCTATGGTGTTTATAACATAGCCAAAATCGTACAATCGACTATGCTTACAGCAGAGATTTCTTCTAAATATGGAGACCGCCTCCGTGGTCTAGTGGTAGAGCGACCGCCCGGTTCGATCCCCGGCCGCGTCATACCAAAAGACGTTAAAAGATGGTACTTGTTGTTACCCTGTCAGGCGCTCGGCATTAAGGGGCTAAAACAAGGACTGGTCGGCTCGGAGTCAGTATACTGTGTCTGAGTGGGGTAATCACGTTAAACTGCGGCATGGTATCTCAGTGTGCTAGCACTATAAATCGGCATCAGTCCGGACTAGTACAAGCAGCCACACACACACACGCACGCACGCACGCACGCACGCACGCACGCACGCACGCACGCACACACACACACACACGTGCATGCACGTCGCTATATAAGCAATAATCTTGGACGCGACGTTAAACCCCATTTCACCTCACCTCACCTCACCTCACCTCACCTCACCTCACCTCACCTCACCTCACCTCACCTAACCAAGGGGCCTCACAGGGCTGTTTCATTTGATACCTCAAATCTTACAATTAGATTTTTCCATTAAAGTTCTACGTCTTTTAATACATAAATTTATTGTTGGTATGTTTTCATTAACAGAAGCTTGTGATCTGTTCGTATGTTACATACTGTAAATGTGTTAATAACAAATACACAATTTGACAATAAGTTGGTATAACCAATAGCACCGCTTCCGTGGTCTAGTGGTAGAGCGTCCGTTCGGAAGGTTCGGGATTCGCGTCATACCAAAATACGTTAAATGATGATACTTGTTGTTACCCTGCCTGGTTAAAAATACGATCACGGTAATGGTTGTGGTTATGGGATCCTGGCTCGCCTAAGGGACATAACTCTTACAAGACCAGACCAACAGATAACATTGACCAAGAAGACGGGGTGGGGAAGCTGTCACAAGCGCCAGTCTAGCAAGTGCCAGTTTCTGAGATCGTATCCCACTAGTGACCGGTTTGTTATTCAGCCTTTGGGCCAACTATATTTACAGGTCCTTACAGTGTTGTCACTACCCCTAGTGTACAGTACATACACCCTGTGTACTCAAAAGAACCCACTCGTCCGATGGTAGATGACCAGATACATACACCCGAAACACAAATGTCAACACGTGTGGTGTCTCCTCGGGCAAGTGAGTTCAAATGTGCCTCAGGGAATGGGTACCCGATATGTGAGCTAGCGCCCCTAGGCAGGTTGGGTTGCATACTCCCCAGGGAGTTGAGAATGACAACTGGAATGCAAACGGATCCGCTGGTCGGGAACAAATAAAACTGCATTTCCCAACTAGTACCTGGATACCTGCGTATATAGATGTATAATAAAATAAAAAAAGATTGAAGATCACCCAATCCACGCCGACTAATTAACGGTTAGAAACAATATGTTACAACCTGAGTGATTTTTGTAACCGTACACAACCGTGTGGTTCGTTCGAGCAATCTTCTCCTCGTTTGTCTGCCCAAGACTCATCAGTTTAAAGGCTTCCTTGATGTACATCACTCACTCACTCACTCACTCACTCACTCACTCACACCGCTGACCTGATCACTATTCTGTATGACCCCTGTCGTGGCACAAACTCAACACCCGTTACATAACGGTTAACCGCCCGTTAGGACGGGTATGCGAAGCGTACGTAAAATCATGCATTTTTTGCCAACTTCGCCTCTAATTTTTTGTAAATGTAAAAAGGTAAATCCCAAGTCAGTTGTGGAGAGTGAGTCAGTGACATGGATTCAACAACTCCTCGAGAATTTTAATCTCTGGCTGAACAGCAGGTGCTTGAAAATACAACAATAAGAGAATTGTTTATGTCGTAACCATGGTCACCATATTCAGGTTATATTTCAACACGAAGCGTGACTTAGAGCGTGATTGAGTGACTAAGTAAGGTTTACGGGTTCTCAGCAATATTCCAGCAATATCATGGCGGGGTGACACCAACACTGAACCCGGGTGTTCGGGGTGACAAGCAAACACTTGAACCACAAGGCTACCCCACTCCCCA